GGTGTTTAGGGTTCAGAGTTCAGGGTATCGCCCACAATCACAAGCACCTGGTCAGAATACATGATTGAAGTTAACTTTCTTCCCTACAAGGGATCACCCGAAGATACACTATTGAAGGAAATCTCCTGGAAAGGGAGCACCAGACAATGAGTTATTGATTGTGATATCCCTAGCAGCGTAAGGCTGCAATGCTTTATGCTCTCGTGCTTCTTGTCCTCATAAAAATTACGAAAAGTGCGGCTTCACACGCGTAGACCTACTATCTGGATTCCCGCGAGAGTATGCCACTAGGTAAGCAGCAATGAACCAACATTTTTGGGATCAAACCCTCAACCCTCAAGGCTTAAACCTGAGCCGCCGGGTGCTGAAACTTTGATGCAGCAATGTAGGGGCCTTAACAATTCGAACAGGGTTTTGGGTCCTTTTATGTTATAATTTCTGAAGAAGGAACCCCAAAATAATAGGTAATTATTGAGGCCCCTATAATAGTTCCGAACTTTGTGAGGCGCTGGACTGTGTGGGTCGGGGTGTTTAGTTCGTCTCGGCCTGAGTCAGGGCCAAGAAATCTTGGGACGCCTCAACCCCAAACTGTAATCCCGGAAGACGGTTTAAGGTTTAGGGCTTCGGGTCTAGGGTTTAGGGCGTAGGATTCAAAGTTTAGGGCTTTTTAGGGTGTAGGGAACCCTAGAGCTTAGGGTGACAAGGCCTCAACCCCAAACTGTAATCCCGGAAGGTTCCTGGCTATGGGGCTCTCGTGTTTCAAAGTTCCAGAAAGCCACAAGGCCCACGAAGTATCGACGCCAAAGAACAGATTCTTTAGTATACGGACGCCTGGAAAAGGTACCTACTTTGAAGACATCCAGATTTGGATTCTACAGTACAAACCAGACAACTTAGGAACTGCGGAGTCAAACTCCTCGGCTTGCAGGCGACCACTTTCCGCCATGAATACGCCACACTCCTGCTTCCTGAATATTGAGGTTCTTAAAGAACTTGCATATATAGTACACCAACTACATATCCAGCATCTTCTGCTACACGCCGTCCGGAACCCGCAATCAAAAGCCGGCTACTTCCAGCCTCCATTCGTCATAAATGCATAGGGCACGCGTGCATCATCCAGGGCCCGGAGCGCCTCTGGAAGTAAGAAAAAAATGGGTCATGCCGGGAAAAAAGGGCTCCTGTATAAGGTACTCACAACACGGGTCCCTTTAAGGGGCTCTTAAAAGGGTACTAAAAGGGTACTTGGGTTGCACTCAGGTTTGCAGCACCCAGCCCAGCAGGGCAACTGTAAGGGCCAAACATGGGAAGGGTTCCGACATCTCGGAGCACTTTCTTTTGATGATTCTAGCGGATTGTCTCTTCTGTTTGAGGATGTCAAGGTCACAGGATGGAAACCCACAAAGCACAACTTACCGGGGTAGTTAAGGATTATTTCTTTAAGTATACATTATATTCCGATAGTGCTCCAAGAAAACACTCCTGAACCAAAGGTGCTCCCTGGGGAATGGACCGACTGAACCACACAAAGACCTGTTCAGAGAGAGAGAGAGAGAGGGAGAGCACAAATCAAGAAACCTTACCCAAATCCTAAGTTAGAGAACCTTCTCCATTTAAAGACTCCCATCAATTAAGACATCTACCCTGACCTATAACTAAGAGCTCCTGGCGTTCAAGTTGCGGGGATAATCCTAATCTATACAAGAGTTACAAGAGCTAGTGGGACCCGCATAAAAAGCCTTATAGAATCCGAGGACCCGTTTCAGAACCCTCCTAGCCTCGGCAGCACGCGGGATGGGCTTGTAGCCTTGGATGAGCACGCCGTCGATATCGAAGATCACACCCCACCTGACGTTCTTGGGGTATGTCGGGCTTCAGGACCTTAGTAACTAGACTGGGGTCCTTTACAGGTTCGACAAAGGCTCTACATGGGTGCTTCCATGTTACTTCAAAGTCCCACCTCCTGGCAAAGGACTCTACAAGATTCACCAGGGCACCATACGAGCGCACGGAGATGCCAGAAGTCTACGTAAACTTCATCCCCAAACCATATAGCAGTTTCCGAAAACAAGGGGGTACCTTATTATTTTGGGGTCCTTATATTTAAGGACTCTACTATTTAGGGCACTACATTAGGTCCCCTATTCTCGGAAACCCCCCATATAGATCCCTAAATTCTAAACCCCAAACCCTAAGACCAGAAACCCTAAGACCCTATTTAGGGTACCATATTAGGGTCCCCTATCTTCGGACACCCGAAAAATAGAGCCCTCTGGCTGGAAACCCACCACTCGCCTGAGACGACAGCGCACCGTCGCAAAGTCCCATACCCTTTCCCGGCCAAGGCCCTTGAGTTTAGGATTTAGGGTTTAGGGTTTAGGGCTTGCGCTGGCCCCTCCCATGCACGGGCCTTTGCTGTGCCGCGCGAACCACTCGGGAGACTCGCATAGCGTCGGAGAATGAAGAGGTACGTTGGCTTCCGTAGACTTTATGCGTCTGATGGCGGGAAGGTGAAGCTGTTTCAAGCTTTGCTGATGCATTCTTGTTCCAGGTGGAGTCTCTCGAAACCCAAGCCTGATGCGTGCTTGTTACAGATTCAGTTTAGAAATGCGTATTGACTGATAGTTCTGGAAACATCTATGTGGCTAGGCTTGTGACAGCTGCACCGGAGAAGACTCCCCCCCGTGACGGGGCATAGACCTTGAGCACGGATAAGCAGGCACACACTAAATAATTCGGCGTCTGGGCATGAGCCGATCCAAAACTGTTGCTTTGCGTCGACGAACGCTTTGCTTTGATGCCTCTGCGGCTTTCGATGTGCCTTTGGTCTGCTCATGGTCTTCCTTATAAAGGAAGACAAGCATCTATATAACATGCCGTGAGCACTCCTAATCAACTCACATGCTTGCAACAATTCGCACCCTGAAGCCCCGTCTGGAACATTTTCTGCTGCCTGCGTCAGTCGCTGCCTCTGCGCAGTTTGCCGCTTTGTTGCTGGCTGCACTTTCGACTATGACTACACATCTCCTCCTACCAGGGACGGTCGACCAATGAACGCTTTGAGTAGTGCCCACCATTCAACGTGTATCTGATCCTATAGTAAGCCCTAAATGCCTTGTTAGCTCTGACATGTTTCAGGAACTCGGTCATGAAGATGCTGAGACAAAGAGGTGTGATCATGGATGGCTTGGGGTCCATGTGTGGGCAAAGTACTAGCCCCCAAGTGCACCAATCAGCCGCGCACGGGTGTCGCCTCAGTGGCAAAGCTGATCCTTGCGGTACCAAGTTCAGCAACTCCTAACCTCCTAACCTCCTTCAATTCTGCACAGCCCCCTAAACTCATCAACTGAACATCTGCTTTGTTTTCATGGGATGGCCGGTTCGCGCAGGCAATCTAATCTATGTGTTCTCTCTGGGTGGAGTTGGACGGACCAGTTCTTCAGCCTCGATTTCGGGACCTCGGCGAGTCGGGTTTAGGGTTTCGGTTGTGGAGTTTCGGCTTGGGCAGTCGACCTGTGGCACGCGCAAGAGATCCGAAACCATGATCTGTTTGCCAGTGCTCGTCGGATAGCTGCGAACCCAACTTCACGCGCAAGCGAACTTCTGAGATTTTGAGCTACCAACAGCCACACAGAATCGCAGAGCCATCCATCAGCCGATCATCAGCCCTTTCCCCAGCATGCGGCCTAAGCATTGTTAAGACCCCAAACCGTGCAGAGCCTTGAGACTTTAGCCCAAACATGAACCCTCAGATGAGTCCGACGGGCGCCAAACCGTGCAACCCTAGAAATCCGTGATGCCTGAAAACTCTAAACCGTGGTAGCTGGACACTCTGACGGTTTCGGGCTTTGGGTTCATGAAAACTCTAAAACCGTGGTAATTGTACAATCTGAACCCTAGATCCTACACACTATAAAGCCTAAAGCCTGCCATTCTGAACCCTAAATCCTAAACACTATAAACCCAAAAGCCTGTCATTCTGAACCCTAAATCCTAAACACTACATAACCCTAAAGCCTGTCATTCTGAACCCTAAACCCTAAACCCTAAACCCTAAAACCGCGTCTTAGGGCAGGCACCAAGTTGACGAAGCCTGCGGAGTTCGAGAAGTATTTCTCGCCTCGGTGCACGCAGGGCTTGGGGATTCTTAAAGGAAGCTACAGGTGGGGAGTTTAGGGTACATAGGGCTTCTATAGGGCTTCCATAAGGGAGTTTAGGGTACATAGGGCTTCTAGAAGGCTTCCATAAGGTATATAGACCGTCTATAAGGCGCCTTTAAAACGGTACCTACCCACCTGAAAATGTCCTAGAGATGGGGGTTGGGGGCTTTAGGACATCAACGGTTAAGGGTGTGGCATAGCAACGTGTCACCAAACCCCAAACCCTAAACCCTAAAACCCTAAAGCCCTAAAGCCCTGAACCCTAAACCCTAAACCCCAAACCCTAAACCCATAAACCCAAAACCCTGAACCCAAACCCTAAAACCCGCATCGGGCTCTCGGTCGATGGTGCTGAGCTTGGCGCCAACATCCGGAGCCTTCCGCTGAGCGCTCGGGTTCGCCTCGGGGACGGCTGATCGTCAAAGAGCTTCAGGGGCAAAGGGCACCATACATGATTCGACTGTGTATACATATATATATATATATATTATGCATACACATGTTGATATGTCCATAAAAGTGGCGTAAGTACTAATCAGACTTGTCAAACACACCAATAGGGAAAAAAGTATGTGCATACCTGCGTGCTACCTTCCTACCTACCCACCTACCCACCGACCCACCTGCCCACCTGCCCACCTGCCTACCTACCTGCCTACCTACCCACCCACCCACCCACCACCTGCCTGGCTGCTTGCTGCCTAGCCTACCTGCCTACCCACCCACCCACCCACCCACCCACCCACCCACCCACCCACCCACCTACCTACCTGCCTACCTAGCAATATCCATGCGTCCATCCATACCTCTGCACAAAAACCTACACATCTTTGTATAGGCGCATGGACACTACAGGTATATGTATACGCTAGATGCGATTTAACTGCATATACATACATGCATGCATGCATGCATACGCGCATGCACATACACATACACATATACATATACATACGCATATACATTTACATGTAAACTGTTTCTGATGAGCTGCAACTGCTTTCTGGAAACGACTTCTCCAAGAATCCCAACGGTTCGGCGTTCAGGGCCGGACTCTTCGAAAGTCTGCAATCTAACAGAACCCTAAATTAGGGAAATCTTCGCCCAAAGCCGGCAGCGCCCCTAAACCCTCAGTCCCAGCAATCCTGAACGATCCCTGAAGCTCGCATGTTTACATTTCTGTGCATAGAGTTCTACACACATACACATATACATACATATATAGTTATATGTGTATATGGGTGTATGTGTAGCTATCTATCTATCTATCTATCTATCTGTCTATCCGTCTACATATGTAACATCTATCTTACCTATGTTACCGATCTTCTGCGGCTGATCTATTTTATCTAGCTTATCTATCTATCTGTCTATCTAGCTAACTTATCTATCTATCTATCTATCTATCTATCTATCTATCGGTCTATCTATTTATCTATCTATCTATTTATCTATCTATCTATCTATCTATTTATCTATCTATCTATTGATCTATCCCTTTATCTGTCCATCTATCTATCTATCTATCTATCTACCTATCTATCTATCTATCTATCTATCTATCTATATGTATACATACATACATACATACATACATACATACATACATACATACATATATATATATATATATATCGATTCCCGAAACCCTTGACCCTCAACCGGGCCCCAAGCCAGCTCGATACCCTGCACCGGCGTGAACGCCAGGGAACTGGAGAGTCCGCTCTCGTTGCCTCTGCTTATGAGCCCTCTTCTTCGGTGAGGGAGTTTTAGGGTCGCTGAGGTCTTGAGGAGTTTGGGCTGTAGGGTGTGCAGGATTTGGGATAGAGGGGCGTGGGGGGATTTAGGTTAAGGGGCAATTACGATAATAGTACTATAATCCCCCAAGGGTGTCGGTGGCGGAGGCCAGTCGGAGTTGGTGCACAGTGGTCAGCTCAACCCTCTTTCTGGCCCTGTGACCTCCTTGGGCACGCGAGTTCGGTGGTCTACTACCGTACCTGTGCGTTGGTGCACCAAACGACCACATGAACGTTTGGATATTGCATTAGGGCTACTGTACTGTAAGGAGGATCAAAACAGCAGTAGTTTAAATGGTCTGCTGGGCTCCTAGAATAATATGGTGCGGCAAAACATCATGCTGCTCATCACTCCCTACTCCTGCCAAGCTAACGGTTGAAGCAGTAATGTAGAGACGCCGGCACCCGCAACGATCTCAATCAGAGGCTTCGTCCCTAGAACCCTAAAGCCCCAAAGCCTAAACCCTAAACCCTGCACCCTAAACGGCCCTAAACATCAGAGCCCTGAATCCAGGAGACAGAAACACTTCATCCTAACACACTCAAGCCCCAAAGTACTGCGGCTAAATGGCCAGACTAGGTCGACAGTGGTTCATGTTTCAACTGCGTTCGGGAGTCCTGAGGTACAGTTTTCTGTTGGCCCGCTTTCTACACCCTCTAAATCCCTATCCCAAATCTAGACAAAAACTGTAATCACCCTCATAAGCGCCGCTGTAATACCCTATAGTAGACCGTAAAGCCCCCTATCCCAAACCCCTTTAAAATCCCCATACCAAAACACCTGTCACACCCTAAAGTAGCCCTTACAGTGCTACTATAGGGTGTCACAGGTGTTTTGGTATGGAGATTTTAAAGGCCTTAGAGCCGTAATCCCTTGGCCTGCGGAGGCTGCTGCGCGCTGTCGCTTCTGCGCCTGTGCCGACAACGGCAAGAAGCGGAGCAAAGGAGAAATGCCCTAAACACTCAACCCCAAACCCTAAACCCTGAACCCTAAACCCTAAGTCCTAAACCCTAAGTCCTAGACCCTAAATCCTATACCCTAAACTTGAGTACTGCCCCCCCATACAGCAACAGTCTACAATAAGGTTATTCTTAAGGGCCTTGTATGGCTTGATTAAAGGTATCATTCAACTGTTACTGAGTGGGGGCAGTATCCAACCCTAAACCCTCAACCCCAAATCGATAAACCCTAAGCCCTGAACCCTAAACCCTATAAATCCTAAACCCTAAACCCTAAAGGATCCGTGTCGCCTTGAGTGTTCCGGGGAATTATCAGGTTTTTCGGGGTGTAGTTTTGAAGATGTTTAGGGTAGAAGGCCTGGGCTTCTAAAGGTTTAGGGTTTAGGGTTTTAGGGTTTTAGGGTTTAAGGTTTTAGAGTTTAGGGTTTAGGGTTTAGGGTTTTAGGGTTTTGGGGTTTAGGGTTTTAGGGTTTAGGGTATAAGGCCTTAGCTTCTAGGGCTTTCGGTATCATGAGACCCTATAGCTAATGTAGGGGCCTTAATAATAAGTAGAATATAGGCTTTTGGGGTATATTATACTATAACAAAAATACGGAGTCCCCCTCCCAAAAAATAGTATTGGTAATTATTTAGTCTTATGTTATAGCACTATTGAGCAGGTTCCTGCCTGATTCCGGACCATTCCAGCAGAGTCCACACTTGCCGACCCGACACACCTACTCTTCCAGCGCCTATCTGGAGCGCTACAACTGAAAAGGGCCTTCATACGTAGAACAGGGCTTGAGGGGAAAACTTTACTATACTGATGTCTAGGAACCCCAACAGGTCGAAAACATACGAATGAGCATCCAGGCCCCAGTACTACGGCTAAATGCGGCTAACCAGCTCGCCGTTCGAATAGATTAACCTGTTAATTGTGGAAGGATTGTATTCATAAGCCTAAAGAAGCTAACGCTTACCTACCAAACCCTAAACCCTATTCTCGATGGGAACAAGGAAGACCTCTCTGCAAATCAGGAGAATAGCAACAACACGTTCGTCTGAGGATTGCTCAAAATGGCTGTTCATCAGAAAGCTGCAAGATAGCTTCGATGTGCCAGTGGTCCCTCCTTTCAAAGACTTTCGAACTACCCTTGCGAACTTGTAGACCGTGATTTGGAGGGTCCTTTCTCAGCTGACCCTTACTATGACTATATACAAGCTCATGTTGAAAAGGTGAGCTGCACCTAACCCCTACACCTGAAGATATCCCTGTCATTCTCGGCTCACTGTGGCCTGGATGTGCCTCTGAAGCTGCTTCTCCTTGGAGACCTGACCAGGGCTTCAGTGATATAGGGGCAATCGTATTAGAGTCGGGTTTGGGCGTATGTAGCAATAAGGAGCCTGGGGTGATATTGAACATTGCGAGGGGCTGGGTATGCCGGCTCCGTTCGCGGAAATGCCTTGCCCTGCTGCTTCAACTTAGCCGGCTCTCTCCGATCCGTAAAAACTGGAGACATCCCTCAGGCAGAGAATGCTGGAAGAGTATATTGATCACCATGAGCAAACTGCAGCTCACTACTCCACCCTGAACCCCAAACCTAGATCCCAAACCTCTACAAAACCCCCCGGGGGAACTTTGCCCAACAACTTCGGGGCCTTCTGCGCCCTAAGTGGGACCGGCTTGCCCTCGAAGTACGGCAGCCCAAGACCCCACTCCTGCGGTGTGGCGCTAGGGTTTTGGGTTTTTGGGGGCTGAAAGGTTGGGGTTTAGGGTTTAGGG